ACCTGACCACCGCCAGGCAGCTGCCCCTGAACTAATGCCACATCAATACCACCAGGCGGCTGCCCCTAAACAATGCCACCGGAGACAGAACCCGCAGGCTGGCGCTGCCCAGTTCCAGCTTTTCCATGTCCCCCTGAGCTATCCGTGCACTGGCCTGGACACCTCCCCTGGCCCTGAGTGTGCCTCACAGCTCTGCTGCTGTTTTGTTTTGGGCTGTCGAGCCCATTGCTGGCGGCTGCGTGGTTGACTGGATGTCATTGCTGTTATTGTCAAGGGACTCTGAATCCCTTTTCTCCACATCCAGTCTGCTCTGAGAATACGATGCTGTCCCAGACATACCTTGTTTTTAAAGAAAAGCATATAACATTGTTATTTAGTAGCAGCCAACACCTTAAGAGTTCTTTAGGAATTATTACAAGTATTGAAATTGTGCCCACACATTACCCTAATGGGCCTTAACTATTAAAGAAATGAACATCATAGTGACATTAATTCACTTCTAGTTTAGGTTGGTGGGTGCTGTTTTCTGGTACTCTCATCTTCTTATTGACTCCTTTTTTTTTTGGAGACGAAGTCACAGGCTGGAGTGCAGTGGCATGATCTCGGCTCACTGCAACTTCCACCTCCTGGGTTCAAGTGATTCTCCTGTTTCAGTCTTTAGAGTAGCTGAGACTGCGGGACCACACCACTATGCCCAGCTAATTTTTTTGTATTTTTAGTAGAGATGGGGTTTCACCATGTTGGCCAGGCTGGTCTCGAACTCCTGGCCTCAAGTTCCACCCCTTCACCTCCCAAAGTTCTGAGATTACAGGCATGAGCCACCACACCCAGCCAGTGTTACTTCTATGTTAAGCAAATTTAATGTTCAAAGTCAGAGTTTGTATTTAAGTCTGTAGTGGTATTCAAAACATGGCAGGTTGCACAGTGTGAAATGGAGAAAATAAAACAGGAGGAGAAGAAATAGGTTGTCTCAGTTCAGCCCCAGCCTGGCCACTCAGCTCCAATCCTGTAATGTAAATGCTGGGAGTCACTTGTCACACAGAATCTGCACTGGTCAAATGTTTGTGCCCCCTCAAAATTCCTGCGTTGAAATCTTTTCTCCCAAGCTGATGGCATTTGGAGGTGCGGCCTTGGAGCCCTCAGGAATGAGATGAGCCTTTAGAAAAGAGGCTCCAGCTGGGAATGAGATGAACCTTTGGAAAAGGGGCTCCGGCTGGGTGCAGTGGCTCACACCTGAAGTCCTAGCACTTTGGAGGCCAAGGCGGGTGGATCACCTGAGGTCAGGAGTTCGAGATAAGCCTGACAAATATGGTGAAACCCTGTCTCTAGTAAAAATACAAAAATTAGCCAGGCGTGGTGGCGTGCACCTGTAGTCCCAGCTACTCAGGAGGCCAAGACAGGAGAATTGCTTGAACCCGGGAGGCAGAGGTTGCAGTGAGCCGCGATCACGCCACTGCATTCCAGCCTGGGTGACAGAGCGAGACTTTGTCTCAATAAATAAATAAATAAATAAATAAATAAATAAATAAGGTCAGGGGGCTCCAGGGATCTGGTTTGTTCCCTTCAACATGTGAGGAAACAAGAGGACACCACTTACGAACCAGAACATGAATCACCCCCACCCCTCACCCCACCACCAAATCTGCCAGTGCCTGGATCTTGGACTTCCAGCCTCCAGAGCTGTGAGGAATGAATTTCTGTTGTTTATAAGCCACCCAGTGGAAGGGATTTTGTCACGGCAGTCCAAACAGACTAAGACGGTGTGAAAGGAAAGGAAATCTCAGGACCCCAAAGTCATAAGCAAGGGGGAAGTCAAGCTAGGAACTGTGTTTGGCAAGCCTGTCTCTCAGTTTATTCCTGAATAAAGGGCTACAAGGTAAAAGCTGCAGACCTCCTCACCATTTGCCTGCGGAAATTCCCGTGAACCAGGACCAGACAGAACTCAGTCATCCTTCTGCAGCCACCTGAGACAGGTGCAGATGGCCAACTTCCTCCACCCTATTGCCTCACTAAGCCAGACTAAGGCGAAGTATTTCTCTATCCTTCTCTCAGATGTACATTGCATATTCAATGGAAGGCTCATCAGAGACTCAAAAGAATGCAACCATTTGTCTCACATCTACTTAAGACGTTGTCCTGCCTTTTTGGACTAGACAATGCACCTCTCTTACACCCGATTTGATGTCTCATGTATGAAACCAACTGTGCCCCAACTACCTTGGGCACGTGTCATTAGGGCCTCCTGAGGCCATGTCATGAGCACATCCACACCCTTGGCAAAAATAAACTTTCTTTCTTTTTATTTTTATTTTTTATTTTGAGGTGAGTCTCAGCTCTGTCATCCAGGCTGGAGTGCAGTGGTGCGATCTCAGCTCACTGCAAGCTCCTCCTTCCTGGGTTCACGCCATTCTCCTGCCTCAGCCTCCCGAGTAGCTGGGACTACAGGCACCCGCCACCATGCCCGGCTAATTTTTTGTACTTTTAGTAGAGACGGGGTTTCACTGTGTTAGCCAGGATGGTCTTGATCTCCTGACCTCGTGATCCACCCTCCTCGGCCTCCCAAAGTGCTGGGATTACAGGCGTGAGCCACTGCGCCCAGCCAAAATCTGACTTTCTAAATGGACTGAGACCTGTCTCAGATACTTTGAGTTCACAACAGTATCAAACCTGTCTAGTGCCTCACAAGGTGGGCAGGAGGAGCTAGTGGAAGAATATATGAGTGTATTTAGAAAGAAAGATAAAGCATTTTGCAAAATTGAAGGGACTATTTAAAATACTACAAATCATAACCAACAATTCTTTTAGACATTGCAATAGCATTATACCCTAAATGCAAATGTTTTCAGCTGTAGCACAATTATCAGTCTTTAGACAAGTAAATTTAGTTACTCATTTTTATTAAGTACTTCATTAATCAAATAGCAAAACTCTCATTAGACTAGGTGTGAAAAGCCTTCTCTGTCACGGTAAGAAGCATACTTTAAAGAGTCTACAGCTAACATCATATTTAATGACAAAAGACCGACCACTTTCACTTTTAGATTAGTAATAATCTCACTACTTTTTATATTTACAAGAGAAGAAGCTGCTAATTAACAAGTGAAGATGACAAAGTCCCAAAATACAAGGTCAATCTACAAAAACTACTTCTATTTTTATATACTGCTAATGAATAATTGGAAAATTTTAAAAACAGTCATTTGCTATAATATCAAAAACATAAAAGTGCATAGAAATAATTTTATCAAGATGTACAATACATAAGAAAACTAAAAGCATTGCTGAAAAAATCAGAACACCTCAATAAATAAAGAGATGTACCATGTTGTGGATGAGCAGACTCAGAAATGCTAATTCCCCCAGTTTGATTAGTGGATCCCACATAATTCCTATCAAAATCCTAGGAAGTTCTATAATAGAAACTGACGTTATGGTTCTAAAATACATATGAGAAAATGCAGAAAAAACATATTCAAAGCTTTCTTCCGAAGAACAGTGTTAGAGACTAATATTACTATACTTGAAAAATCATCACAAAGCCAGTAATCTAGACCAGATGTTAGCGGAAAAAGGATAGCTAAGTAGATGAGTGGAAAATAATAAAAAGTTTATAAGTTTATAAAGTTTATAATTGAATAAAAAGTATATACCCCTTTGAAATGTATGTAAATATACGTACATGTTCAATCGATATTTGATGAGGCACTAAAACAATTCAGTAAGAAGGAAATCCTTCTCAACAAATGATTCTAGAACAATGAGATAGCTACATGACAATTAAAGATGGAAAAGCCTAACTCACCACACACACAAATTTATTTGAGATAAATTAGAGATCTAAACGTAAAACCTAAAAATATAAAGACTCTAAAAGAAAATATGGAGACTATTATTGAGATATTGGGTTAGACAAAGATCTCTAGAGGCAAATGCGAAAACACGTAACACAAGGGAAAAAAAAGTGGACTTCATTGAATTTAAGGCAGACACTGACAAAGAGACCATGAAGAAAACAGAGCAGTAAGCCACATAGTGTGAAATGCTGGGGCTACTCTGGAAACCTACTCGTAAGTATTTACCCCCAGCGTAATGAAAACACGCACTCCTGAATGACTAGCACAATGGCAAGAGTACCTGGTGTGTTTTATTTGTAGTAGCCCCAACCCTGAAAAACACAAAATATCCATTGATTGGGAGATGCAGAACAAGCTGTGGCATCCGTACACAGTCTACAATCATGCATGTAAATTGCAGAGAATGAATGGGTAACGCATGCAGTGAGAATGAAGCTCAAAACCATCACTGGATCGAAAGAAGACAGGAACACAGAATTACTTATGCTGGATTCCATTTACATGAAACTCTAGAACAGACAAAGTAATGTAGGCTGGGCGCAGCAGCTCCCACACCTCAATCTAGCACTTTGGGAGGCTGAGGCAGGAGGATCATTTGAGCCCATGAGTTCAAGACCGGCCCGGCAACATGGCGAAACCCATGACCCAAAAATAGAAAAATTAGGCGTGCATGTTGGCACTAGTAGTTGTAGTTCAGCTACTCTGGAGGCTGAGGCAGGGAGGATCACTGGAGCCATCAAAGCTGCAGTGAGCTGTGATCACACCACTGCACTCCAGCCTGGGCAACGGAGGGATATCTTTTTGTTTTGTTTGTTTTTTTTTTGTTTTGTTTTGTTTTGTTTGTTTTTAAGTAATGTATGGAGATTGGAATCAAAAGCGCAGTTGCTTCCAAGAGTGAGGGGGCATCGACTGGAAGTGGCTCTGGGGGGCTGTCCCGAGATGGAAGTGCTGTCCTAACTTGACAGGTGCACAGGTTCCTGGAGTACCAGAACTGGTAAAGCTCCTCCCCCTGTGCCACGGCCATCTGTGGTGTGTGTGTGTGCATGTGTGAGTGTGCGCGCACGTCGGGGATGTGAGGGTTCTGCTTTCCTGGCTTCCACACCCCAAAGCCTCCCATGGTCAGGGGGGTGGGTGCGGCCTATTTACCTTGTGGATGTGCCGGGAATGGGGCGCCCGGTGTCCACCAGGACGCACCAGCAGTACCCCGTGGAGGGGTGGCACTGCACTGGCTTGTAGAGGCCGCCCTGTGCACACTCAGGGATCACCACGTTGTCGTTCTTGGGCTGCTTGGCTTCCTCCAGGGCAGACTGGTGCTCTTGGTCACAGGATGACACTGCGGGGAAGAAGAAGGCAAAAGGTGAGCAGGATCCAGGGACGTCAGGTCCCACCTGCAGAACTCCTGGGAGGCCACAGAGAACTGCCAAGAACGGTGTGATCCTCCTTCATCCTGGGGGCAGGAGGGCCTGCCAGCGTCGGGGGCACAGCGGGAGAGGCAGAAGCTCATGGGGAAGCTCAAGCGGCTCCAATTCCCGCAGCCTGGCGCGCTGTGATCCCAGAACTGTCAACAGCATCCCCACAGCGATGGACATTGCTGCTCAACACGCTGCACAGCTCACAAGTCAGCATGGGCAGTCGCCTGGGAGAGGGGATCCACGAGCAGTTCTGACGCCCGCAGGACTCCTGAATGTGACCAGGCAGAACCAGCCCTGTGGCTGGAACTCTTCTCTGCTCCCTGCTCTGAGCCACCTGTCATTGAGGCTGGAGACTCCTCAGAGTGGGCCCCAGGGCAAGGTCGTGTTTAGACTCCGAGGTTCCCTGTGTGATCCCTCTGCCCTCATTCTCAACATGCGGTTCATCGTCCTCCCCCAAGCCCCAAACGAAAGGATGACTTGGAAGAAAATCCACTTTCTCACCTGGGGCCTCCCCAAGGTCTGACTTAGGTCTAAGCAGAACAGGTGCAGGCTATCTAAAAGTTGTTCATCCCCAAATCGTGAAAATTTCCACTGCACGATTTCCAAAACAAGCTTTGTTACTGAAAACTGGTAAAGAATAATAATGAGAGGTATTCATACTCGGCCTGTGAACCAGGCATTGTGCTACATGAATACTGAACTCACTCACATGCAAATAAAACAATGACAAAAATTCTAGGACCTCACATTGCCATGTGCAAAGGTTGGTCTCTTTTTGTCAATAAACTCAGTTTCTCCTTGTGTTTAGGTATGTATGTCTGACATCCATCTTCTGCCCGAAATAGTTAAGCCAGGAATACCTGAGAATGAGCGCGTGCTGGCAACCCCTTCCTGACTGGCCCTCACTAGGGGGAGAGTGGTAGCATCTAGGAATGAAAGCCCATGTGACCTATTGGTGGTTGCAGCAGGAACACGCAGATGGAGCGGCAGGGGCAGCCCCTCTGCTCAGCCTGAAGGGAACTTGGGCTGGGACGTCACGAATCTCTCCTACTGGAAGTGATTTTCCACAAATGGTGCTTTAAGACTGCTTTGAAGCTGATTAGCTACAGTGTATAGTTTATAGGGCTTTTATGACCCTAAAGGGGATATCAGACAGGTGGGACACATTAGGAAGCTGATAAGAGCCGCTCAGCACCGCCAAAGCTGGTGTGGTGAGTCCATATCACAGCCCAGCACAAAGGATTGCTCTGGGGATTAAAAGCGATTATAGGTGCATTGTGGCATACTGACACAGTTCCACAAATGTTAGCTATTGCTTTGATTATTTTTCCAATGCTAAAAGGATGCCTGGCTTATAACAGGCACTCAATACATTTCTTTTGAGATAATAAATAATTGTGATGGTATTAATGGAAACCACCCTGATTTTAGCATATCTAGCAACTCTGTTTAACATCTGAGGATAATCAGATACAGAATTTTATGATTAGTCCATTACTGACTATATTACCAAATGTTACTATTAGATTTTGTAAAAGCATGTAAGTTTTGTGTCTTCACTGCAAGAATGTAAAAACAAATGTTACCTTTCGGACTCTCCCCTATAGTTCTATTCCAAAGTGACTAACAATCACTCTTCCCTGCTGATCCCACACGCTGTACTCAGACACTTGAAAGAGAGGATGATAAACATTAAAGTGAAGTCATCGTGTCTGCTCAGATCAACATTTTTTTGAATAAGCTCAGAACTCACGGGTCATTCAAATCTCACAATAGGTGCTCAAAATGCGTTTAATGAACAAGAGAAGCAGCAGAAAGAAATCTGTCAGTGACTGAAATTTCATAAGATTCTGTCTTATAAGTTCTGTACTTTTTTGTGGGCTCCAGGTTTTGCTCAGCAAATGCACAGGTGCATCAATAAAACCCACCTCTGGGTTATAGTAAAGAGGCTTTTGCCCCAACGATAACAAGGAAACTGGTAAGAAATAAAAAGGACAATGATTTGCATTTCTCTCTGAATTGCTCAGTAAGTTATTTTAGGTCATGGAAGAAACTGAGAACAGCAGGGGTTGCGCTAAATGTTTCTGGAGGTTGTTGCTTTGCAGAAATCCTCAGAGCACATGGTGCATCACTCAATGGAACTGCGTCTCCAGAGAGCAGCCGCTGAGGATGGCGGGAACCGCCTCTCCAGCAGCACCCTGGAAACTCAGCACTGCCGTGTTCATGTGATGCCTGTTCACACCTCTCCAGCAGCACCCTGGAAACTCAGCACCGCCGTGTTCACGAGGCGCCTGTTCGTGCCTCTCCAGCAGCACCCTGGAAACTCAGCACCGCCGTGTTCACGAGGTGCCTGTTCGTGCCTCTCCAGCAGCACCCTGGAAACTCAGCACTGCTGTGGCGCTTCTTCAGAAATTTTATTAGTGCACAGAATTGATGGTGTGATGATCCAGACACGAGACACTTTCTGTGCTCTATCCAGGGACATGCTGCATCTATAGAAACCGTTCTCAAAAATTCTTGAAACGTCTCTCTTGAGGATTTTATGTGATATTTGAAAGCTTATCATCAGCAAAATAAGATGGATTACGTCAACCTCTTAAAATTTGATGAGCATGATATAAAATATCAAAGATATTATAGCAGAGTCAGAAGAAACCTTATGTTTGTTTAGATAAACATCGTGGTTGATGAAGGCTGTTAATCCATGCAGTTTTATGTGATAAACCTGGCTCCATGAGGGAAATTCAAACTCACTGGAGAAATGCAATTCCATTTTCTTTTAGTAAGGGCCACAATGGAGGCAGAAGATCTTTAAACAAACCGATGATGGCCCTTGGGAAGAGAAGGTTACAGAACATAATTTCCACATGTGACAGTCACCTCCCCCCGGGACATCCCAGAATGCAGCGTTCTGCAGGCAGAGCTGACTGGGGTGGTTCTCTCTGGCAGGAAACAAGTCCTTATTCTATAAAGGACTTAATCATGCCGGTAGAGGGAGGGAGGGGGTTGAATCCGCACATGACAGGTCCTGTGTCACTACAGCACAGGAGATTTCCGTCCTGGGAGGCGCACGGGGCAATGACTCCAGAAAGGAGCCCAAGGAGGAGGAGCTCAGCGATCCTGTAGAAAAATGTCCTTGAGGCCTTAGGAAGCATTAACGGTGCAGGAAAAAGGGAACTGAGTGAATCTGAAGATTGAGAGAAGCAGGATGGCAAGCGTAGAGACAGGGAAATAGGGAAGGAGAGGCTGTTCCCAGGATTGTGGTGGAGTCACCGGCAGGACCACACAAGGACCACAGGGCGCATTACACCGAGGTGGAAATGTGGAGATACTTGGCTCTGTTAAGTGGGGACAGGGAACCAAAGTTAAAGTTTTCAACTAATCATATTACTATAAGTTATGTTTGATTCTAGATGGAATAGGCTAAGCTTCCAAAAATGACCATGGATAGAGAAAAATAAAGCTAGAAATTCTGGAAATAATTCAGAAAAAAAAAGTAATAATGAATGATTACAAAATCCCTATTGCAATATTCCATTTTAATATATTTATGAAAATATGTCACTTTTTTTCCTATTCAGAAGGCCTTTAACTACATCATTTTCTCACATAATAAATTTTGAGGAGTTAATGTATAAAGAAAAAATAATCTGAAAGAAAAAAACACAAATAGAAGCAATTCCGACATGAAGGCATTCAAGAGGCTGACTTTTAACGCACACACACATACATATATATAATATATATTACTTATAGTATTATAGTAATTATATATTATATGAACAATACAGAATATGTATAATTTATTATTCTCCCAAATTACAACATTTTTAACCAAAGAATAGCCTTCCATTTAGCATATTAAGTTCATTCTCACTCAAAGCTTTGACTTTGCCTCAATCTGAAGGTTTCTGCTCTTGCCACAGAGTCAGTGACACCCCGCTGGTACTCAGAACCCAGAAGGAAATGTATTAATTCTACAGTATAAGTTCTGCAATAATTCTGTAGTATAAATATGACTGCATGGTGCTCTCTTTCATAGCTAGTTCTATTGCGTGGTTTGTGCTTTTCTAGTTCCACTAGCATTGCCTGTGTGCTCCTTGCCCTGACTGCTGTCTGAGGCTCAGATCCCTGGCCTGCAGGCCCGTGGGCCTCATCCTGAACACACTCCTGAAAAGTAATTAGCACATTGGAGACAGTCTTCCTCCATATTGTCTCATTAAATATTAGAAACATGATTCCAATTCCAATTTACTTCTATAAATGTTGTTTTATAGAAACACAATTTCAATTCCAATTTACTTGTATAAATTCTAACTTTTATAGAAATATGATTTCCATTTCACTTCTATAAATTTTAAGTTTTATAGAAACATGATTCCCATTCCAAATTACTTCTATAAATTTTAAGTTTTATAACCATGTAACAACTTTTTTTTTAATTTGTAGAAAGCTACCTTTGTAAAGTTGGTAGAAGGTCTATTAAAAAAATATGAGTTCATTTCCCAAACTAGCATTAGATGCTTGTGACTTATAATGTGTCTGACAGTTTGTTCAAATAATCTGACAACCAAGCGGAGTTTTTAGATGATAATAAGCGGCTGCCAGACATTCATGAACATTAAAAAAACCTCTTACATAATTACCTCATTAAATGAAGTCTACTTGATTCAATATGACGATGCCTGAAACATTTTTATAGGAAGCAAGAACAAATCACATCCATTCTAAAAATGAAATCTCCATATTTGGCCATATTTCAAGAAATCGCATGCTGCAGATGTACGTTTTTTGGCAAGCTCACACCCTTAAGAGCTTTGCATTAACATTTGGAGAGTTGTTGCTCAACTCCAGCAGGCACAGGATCCCGTGAAGCTCTTGAAAACCAGAAGTACTTGAAAGTATCGATTTGACCACCACC